TTCCACTATTTGCATTCACACCTGGGCTGTGTGTATATATTGCCTTGGTTTGGCTCTGTAATCATTAGTGGTCGTGGGACTAGTTGGGGGCCCTACCTAAGCTAGTCGAACGTTTCCTTTGGTTCTATACCCTCATAGGCGTAGATCCCGGGGTGCGGGGATGGGGATATATCCCCCAATATTTGACAAGGGAGGATCTTCCATTGTATCATCCCCCTAATATTTTTACTTTGTATGGGATAAAATGGAGCTTTACACACTTTAAAAGACTGTCACAGAAATAATTTGCACTGTCTTATGCACTTACAAAGATGAACATTAGCATAATGTATTAATGTTGATAACAAAATTATTTTATCTGCCAGGGCCGGCGGAACGTTTTTCAAAGTGGGGGGGGGGGCACTTATAAGATGAATGGGAATATGAATCATGCAGATCTGGAAAAACCTAAGGGATGGGGGTCAACATTTTTCCCAAAAAGGAAAGGGATCTGTGAATATCCGTGAATATTTTGATTCCTAGAAGGCGGGAAATGAGTTTTCCCGACTTCTGAGGTGTCTTGTAAGTTCTTTAAAATTCAAGGTTTTCTCCTCTTGAAAACAGTCAGGTAAATTTATCGCATTGTTATTACAGTAGATAGGCCTTATGTGTACAGTATATACATACATAAAAAAGAAATGAGTAGTTGTATACAATTTTTTTCCATGAATCCATAAATCCCAAAAAGAAAGGGGGGTTCTCCCCCAGGAAAATTTTGATTCTTAGAAGGCGGGAAATGGGTTTTCCCGACTTCTGAGGTGTCTTTTAATTACTTTTAAGTTCTTTAAAATTCAAGGTTTTCCCCTCTTGAAAACGGTCAGGTAAATTTATTGCATTGATATTACAGTAGATAAGTCTTACGTATGTATACATACATAAAAAAAAATGAGTAGTTGCATACGATTTTTTCCATGAAACCACAAATCCCAAAAAGAAAGGGGGGTTCTCCCCCGGAAAAATTTTGATTCTTAGAAGGCGGGAAATGAGTTTTCCCGACTTTTGAGGTGTCTTAATTACTTTTAAGTTCTTTAAAATTCAAGGTTTTCCTCTCTTGAAAACGGTCAGGTAAATATTTTATCCTATTGTTATTACAGCACATAGGCCTTATGTGTTTATACATACATAAAAAAAATTGAGTAGTTGCATAAGATTTTTTTTCCATGAATCCATAAATCCCAAAAAGGGAAGGGGGTCCGGAAATGAGCTTTCCCGACTTCTGAGGTGTCTTTTAACTACTTTAAGTTCTTCAAAAGTCAAGGTTTTCCCCTCTTGAAAATTATTATAATGAATCAATGAACCCAAAGAGAAAATGTAGGTTCGGGTTCTTCCCGGGAAAATGTTAATTTCTAAATGGTGGGAAATGAGCTTTCCCGACTTCTGAAGTACCGTATCTTATATAGCGATTTTAATTTAAGTTCTTCAAAACGGTCAGGTAATTTTTTCCCAATCCCAAAAAGAAAGGGGGGTCGGGGGTTCTCCCCCGGGAAAATTTTTACTCCTAGAAGCGGGAAATGAGCTTTCCCGACTTATGAGGTGTCTTTTAATTACTTTTAATTTCTCCAAAAATCAAGGTTTCTCCCTCTTGAAAATGATTCAATAGAACTAATGAACCCCAAAGAAAAAAGGGGTCCGAGTTCCCCCGGGAAAATTTCGATTTCTAGAATTCGGGAAATGACCTTCACTGACTTCTGAAATGTCTTTTAAATGACTTTTTAAGTTCTTCAAAATTCAAAGTTTTCCCCTCTTGAAAATGATCAGGTAAATTTTTCTCATTTTTTATTTTATGTGTGTATACATAGGCCTACATAAATAAATGAGTAGTTGCATGCGTATTCTTTTTTTCTATGAATCGATAAATCCCAAAAAGAAAGGGTGATCCGGGGGTTCTCCCCGGGAAAATTTGAATTCGTAGAAAGCAGGAATGAGCTTTCCCGACATTTGAAGTGTGTTTTAATGACTTTTATGTTCTACAAAATTCTAATTCTCTGTTTGTAACATAAAAAAAAATTTTAAAAAAAATCAGCTCACGGGTCCTGAAAAGGTAGGTCTAGAATTTTTTTTCCGGTCACAAAAAACTCCAGACATTATTTTTTGCAAAAAAAGTGGGGGGGGGGGCGGCCCCCCGGTTCCGCCGGCCATGTCTGGTACCAATCTAAGCTCTTCTTTCCTTAGATGTTAGATGTGCTTGCAAAGAGAGCCACATTTCACACTGAAGGGTGTGAACGACATCAGTACAGTAATGTTATGTCAATTCCAAGAATGTTTAAGGTTATATCGGTTGATGGGGAATTTATTGATTAGGCCTATAATAGCAAATTGCATCAATCTATTTTGCAAAAACAAGGTTTCCAGCTTCAGAGGGGGCACAAGGGCACACATTGGCGCTAACACCAGGCGCGTAACAGGGGTCTCGGGTCAGAGTGGGTATTTATTTTCCCGGTTAGTAATTTACCATACCCACCCCACCCCACTCCCCATATAGAAAACAATACGACATCGGGCTTATCTTATTTATATATAAATTTGTCTTTCTTGAGTTTTGGACTATTATGTGTTTAAATAACTTAAAAGGATAAACCTAAAAAAGCCCTATAAAATGCGCGGAAAATGCTGCTGTGTTTTTAATTCTAATTTCGTCGGAATTGATGAAAAACTCTCTAAAATGTGCAATTTATAAAGGAAATTGACCTACTGTAACAAGAAATGCGCGCAAAGAATTTTAGAATTTTATGCACTTTCAGAGGATGCATTTGTCAAGTGGTGGGGAAAGATTTTCCAAAGATGGATATTTTCCCCCGGTGTTTTTAGTTCTAATTTCGTTGGAATTGATCAAAACTCTCTAAAATGTGCAATTTTTAGACGAAATTAGCCCATGTCAACAAGAAATTTGAGGTTCTTAGGCACTTTCAGGGGATGAAAAGGGCATTTATAAAGGGGTGGTGAAGATTTTCCAAAGATAGATGCTTTCCCCTTGTCCCCCAGTGGTTATGCTATCGGGTAGCATAATGTAGATCAAAGGAGTTATGACAGTTTTTGAAGTGGAGAAGGCTTTTCAGGGTGTTGTGAGTCCGGTCATTATGATATCTTCCTTTTTATTCTTGTCTTTATTTTTCTCTTCTCTTTTTCTTTTCCTTTCCTTTTCTTTCTCTTTCCTCCCTCTCCTTCTTTCTTTTCTCTTATTACCCAGCCCGGTACGACGGCTTGGTCAGCCCTTTAAAAACCGTCAGGGGAGGGGCAGTTTCCCCCTGTCCTTTCCCCTGTCCCCCTCGCGCCTGTTACGACACTGGCTAACATGCCAATCATCCCCCACCCCCAATGAAAAATACTTTTCTACGCCACTGTAAACCCTAGCTGCACTGATGAGGCCTGGAAGGCCGAAACGGTTCCGTCTGCAGATATTGGGATTCCTTCCAGTGGATGCTTAGTTTATTTTGTCATTCTGATCGGATTTTCTCTACTGTTCCGTTTTAATTTTAAATAGTTTTGCATTATGTGGCCGTTTGCTGTTTTA